TGGTTCATATAATTTTTATTGATGCTTTAAGCATGGGAATTGAGTTAATAAGTGTCTTAGTACACATGAATAAATTTTTATTGCGATGCCTATATGCACTAAAGGTGTTTCTAGCACCGAGGAATAGGATTTGCGACGCATTATGCGTTTAAGGTGTCTTTGACACTGAGGTAGATTAAAAAGGGTTCAACTATTACTTTTATGTGGTCACTAATTATTCAAGAATTAAATTGGTATGTTTGATTGCTTGAATGAATGATAATGTTTGATTATGTTATGGTTTGAGAGTCATCACTGAGTCTAATAATATGTAATAATGTAAAGTGAAAGAGATTACACACCAAACTCTTGGAACGTATATACCTTGAGTATGAACATATTGTTATGCGACTTTATATTTGACCATAACTTCTACTAGGAGTACAGGACGTTGTATTTTCCTTTTTATTACTATATTATGCGCAGGACGTTCAGTCACTTTATGTGACATTTGCCTACCTAGTTAGCTCCCGGTGTAGTTTACCTCAATTTATTTGAGGCAAGGATTTGGTTGGAAACCCGTTCGATGTGTAATCAAAATAAATGAACATTGGTATTGGTCTAATTAGGTGTTGAATGTTTTGTATGCTTGTAAACAGGTGCAACACGGTAAGTTGTGTGATGTTAGGATGAAAGCATGTTAGTGTGTTTTATTACGCTTATGTACTCAGCTTTGCTGATTGTGTGTTTGTATGTTTGTTTGGCCTTGTCTTTACCTTGGCCCTACGAGAACCCATTTCTAATGGTGAGTAGCGGGGACAAGTAGAGAGAAGCTTTTCAGGTGATGAAGCATTTTCATGAAGGGCATAAGTGAAGAGCGAATCATGCTTAGTTCTCATAGGAATATGATGTGTTTTATTTGCTTTGAATATTATTTATTTTATTATGATCATGAGACTAACGCAAAGGTTTTAAATTTTGATTGGGTTTTAAGGGCTTACAATGGTTCCAAATTGTAGGTTGACTTTGTTTGACTTTTACTTTCATTTGGTTTGACTTTTTAAGTTGACTTGTTTTTAAATGGCTTTAAAAGTAGTCTTCCGCTGTGTGTGAGTTTTTGATATTTGCCTTAGCCGTTTTCACAGTGGCGGTAATGTCTTAGATTTTCCTTTTTCGTATTTTAAAAAGGGCAAAATGGGTATTGTAAAGGAAAGGAATTTCTAGGGTGTTACATATTGTGTCATATTCCGCAAAATACAAGTTAATCAATTTGATCAACTTGTTTCGTCAATCAACAGGGTAAAACAGTCTTTTCCATCATTAAACCTGAGACATTTGGGTAATAGCATTTATGTTGACTCAACAGCTTTGCCACACTCGCACGTCTACATGTATATGCTTGAGTAACGACGTTTCCAAGGTTGATCTATCGCACCGTTACGTTAATTTTGGCCGTTATCTCCTCAGCTACCCCATATCTCATCAATGCACCTACTCCCCTTTTAGGTATTCAATTTTTTTGTTTTTTAAATTCATGTATTGATATTACCCAAATTGTGTCCTCAAATTGGGCGTATTACTTTGTTTTAGCACTATGACCTCAAATTTAGATTTGGTTTTGCTATGTTTTATTTAAACCAATTGTATAATAATGATATAAACAAATTACACAGTACCCCAATATCATATTGCTTAAGTTTGGTGGTTGTGGCGCCCCGGCCAGACGCCACCCAGCAGTTCGTAACTTTTTTTTTAATTTTTTATTTAAGGTTTTTGTTTTTGTTTTTGTTTTTTTTTTTTTGGTTTCTGAACTTTGATACTAATTTGAAATTAAATATGTGTTAATAATTTCAAAAAAAAAATCAATGACATAAGAACTTGACGGTGACGCTCGGCTACATCACTAACGTACTCGGCTACAGCACACTCTAACGTACATTAAATCAATTGCACTCCTACTCAGTAGCTGACTAATTGCCATCATTCATAGCTCCCCTTATGTGGATGTTTGATGTTCACTTTATTTACAAAAGAGCCATTTTGATTGACAAGTTAAATTGATCAACAAGATCAATGGGGGTGCGCTCGTCATATTCACATGCACGTGAAAATAGAGAGAAAAAAAAAATTAAAAATCAAGAGGACCACATTATGATTACCACTGGAAGCATATAAAATACAATAGGATGAATTTTTTTTAAAGTACCATTGAGAATATCCAGTGGTACTATTTGACCACCCAATAATATTACTCTAAATTCAAAGGGTGAATGACATATTACCCCTGTGAGACATATGTTTTGCAGCTCACTGTTAGTTGTTTGAGACGACTCTTTGATCATGGGGCTCAAGGTAATGACTTGGTCACCATGTTCTCTCTCCTAACATACACATTTTTTCTTAACAATATTCTATTTTCTTTCTCTTGATGCTCATCCAAAATAGATATTAATGAAAATGATCTTATGCTTCGTATATCACTGAACATATATTTTCATTGAAGTAATAATAGTACAGAGTATTATTTTTTTCATAGCATCAAATATCCTACTACCTCCATTTCATATTATTTGCAACGATTAGATATTATCTAATCACACTTTTATGTCAAATTGTTGCAAATAATATGAAATAGAGGTAGTAGTATAATTAGGGGTGTACAAAAATTGGCCCGGACCTGAAACCGGACCTGAACCGACCTGAACCGGACCGGACCTGACCCGGACCTGTTGATTCAGGTCCGGTCCCGGTTCTTAAAAATCCAGGTTCCCGGTCCCGGTCCGGACCCGGTCCAAACCCGGGGTTTTCAGGTCCGGACCTGAAACCCGGGAAAATCGTAATTAAAAAAAAAAAAAAAGAAGAAGAAAACCAAACTCTGAAAAATTGAAACTGAGTTTTTGTGGACTTATTTGTATTTTCGGTGGACTCATTTGTATTTTTGGTGTTTGAGAATCGGGACTTTATAGACTTTATGTAGTTTTGTAATTGATAATTTTGGTTTGTATGTAATTATTAAATTATGCAACAGGTCTAAAAATCACAAAACAGGTCCATATGCAGGTCCAACAGGTTTTGTATTAAAAAAAAAAACGAAAAAGACACAAAACAGGTCCATTCAGGTCCAAACCCGGACCGGACCTGATTTTTCAGGTCTGGCCCGGAACCGGACCTGTTAATTCAGGTCCGGTCCCCGGTCCTCATAATTACCCAATTCAGGTCCCCGGTCCAAACAGGTCCGGTCCAGGTCCGGTCCGGTTTTGGACCGGTGTACACCCCTAAGTATAATACAATGATAACATTTTTTGACACTCTTTTAATATAACAATTAAGGGCTTGTTTGACATCGTTTTTTGTTATCGGGAAACAAGAATAAGATGTTTCCACTTTTTTGTTGTCAATTTTTAAAATTATCACATTGAATGAGTTTAACTAATTTTTGAAAATTAGATAATACACCCGGGTGCACCATGGTGCACCCGGGTAAACAAAAAAAGGCGGAAAGAACATATAGTGTTTGATAAAGAACATACCTATGTTTGACAAAGAACATACCTTTAATATGTTATTCGAGTGTGATCAGTGTGTTCTTTGAGTAAAATTATATGTTCTTTACATTATAACTTATGTTATTTAACATATGTTGATAAACATATTTTTTTTTGGGTTTAATAATACAAAGTATGTTCTTTGAATTTGGCGTGTATGTTCTTTAAGGTCGTAGTGACGCCCAAATTCTATTTTTTATTATCATGTCATATTTAAGTTACTTTTATTATCGCACATTCTTTGAGTTTGATTAGTGTGTTATTTAGGTATTAACTATATGTACTTTACAATATAAATTATGTTCTTTTTAACATTTGGTATTTTGAAATTTGATATTGAAATCTTAAATTATTTTTAATTGAAAATAATGTTAGAGTAAAAAAAACTAAATTATTATGGGAAGTTGATTTTTTTTTTGGAGAGATAGAAAACTATTTTTTGGGGAAATGATATCTTTGGTAAGGATTTTTTAAGAGGTGATCAACATTGGCATGACTCACATCCCGACCCGATCCGGCCCGAAATAGGGTGGGTTTGGGCAAACCTAAAAATGCATTTTTAGTTAAAACTCGATCCGGGTTCGAAAAAAGCCCGAAAACCCGCTACTTTTCTACGGGTTTGAGCACGAGAAATTATGATATGGCCCGGCCCTACTCGATTATTTATCACTTCTAAATTTTTTCCGTTAATAATGTGTAATTTTTCAGAAAATTTTATCGAGCTTTTATCTCGTTCTTTTTATTATATCTTTATGTTCTTTGGTAATGCATGTTTTTGTCAAATACAACCATGTTCTTTGTCAAATACATGTATGTTCTTTATGAAACACAGGATGTTCTTTCCGCCTTTTTTTTATTTATCCGGGTGTATGATGAGCACTGTACACCCGTGTGTATAAACCACAGATTACTAATTTTTAATTCATTATACTTCTTTCATTCTTTTATTATTTCACCATAGGGGCTGGACACATTTTTTTCGGTAGTAGGAAAAAGGAAGAGATAGAGGGGTAAAAGGACAAGATTATCCACGTAATATAAACATACACTACAGAATCAAGGGTTAAAAGTAAGGGTATATTGGATATTTGTACTGTGAATACATATATTTTGTTTCCTAAAATAGATATGGTGCAAAAACGGAGGAAGTATGACATATATCATATGATTTAAAAAAAAAATAAAAAAAAAATCACAGCAATACCAAACAAACCCTAATGGTCTAATGTATTTGTAGATATTTTTTTTTAAGAGAATGACAATAATAGAAAAAAAAAATGAAAAAGAAATACATAGAGAAATAACTAAAAGAAAAAAAAAACAAAAAATTAATAAAAATCACAATTTTGCTTTTCCTTTGCATTTTTATGGAAACTTTATTATACAATATCCACCATGGCATCCACGTCAGATCAATCTCAGACCATTAAAATCCCTCGTCCAATATTCATCCCATACGCATGGCGGGAACAAGCTAACGCGTGCTCAACAGAAAACAGCAATCGCTCCACAAATTTGACTCCCATGTAAACTTTCTCTCTCCTCCAACCAATTACCTTCCGCCACGTACCCCATAAATCCTCCTTATACACAACCCTCACCTTCTTCCTTCAAGAGTTCCAGAAATTAGGAGAGAGAAAATCAAAATCCACCCAAAAACTTCAGCAATCATCAATGGCGGTGTTAAACGGCGTCGTACTGAAGCCCTCTTCTTCTTCTTGCTGTTATTACACTACCCAGATTGGAAAACTTTCTGGGAATGCAAGAAATTCATGTTTTTTGAATTCTGAAGTTTGTTTTAGAAGAGGGAATCGAATACCCAGTTTGAGGGAATTTAAATTAAAAGTTGGGAATCGTGGGTTTGAAGATGAAGGGCACTTAGATTATTATAATTCTGGGGTTGGAGTTGGGGTTTCGGTTTCCTCTGTTTGTGGAGAGAAAAAGGGAAAGGGGAAAAAAGGGTGGAATGGGATTCCGGTGAAAAAGAGGATGAAATTGTTGAAGGGTTTGGTTAAGGATTTATCGGCCTTTTCTGAGTTAGGGTTTGGGTTGAATTTGGATTCTGATAATAATCTGGGTTTTGCTGTTGATGATGATAAATCCAGAACTATTTCTGTAAGTTCACTTTCTTTCTTATCAATTTTTTTATGTTGTTTTTTGTGAATTTGGAATTATTTCTTAAGTTAATGATTAATACGAGTATGTGTGTTTAATATATCTGAGTTTTGCACAAACTTCTATTAACACGGGTGTATTGTATACAATATGTTGATTCGGCCCTGATTGCAAAGGGTCGACTTTTATGTGATTGGGGGAGATTGTGTATTGTCGAATTGAAATTTAAGTTGGAATTTGAATTGGTATTTGCAATCAGAGGGATTTTGTTTCTTTAAGTGAGGATTTCCTGATGTAGTTTTCAGTTTTTCTATTAAGTTGTGAAAGGACGAAGTTTAATCTAATGAATTATTCAAGGGTTTTAAAAGCTTTTTCGATTTTGTTTTTGGCAATTGATCCTTGTACAAATATTTAATTTATAGTTTTCCAACCCTCTTTTAGTTGTTGTACTTATTGGTTTAATTTTTGGACAAATTTGTGCAGCAAGCAGCAGAGACACTGTTAGCTCAATTGAAGCTGTTAAAAGCAGAAGAAGAAAAGATGAAGAATTGTAAATCACAAGACTGTGAATCCTCCTCTTCCTCTTCGGAATCGAGTGACAGTGAATGTGATGAAGTGATTGACATGAAAACTGTGAAAAACAAGACCATTGTTCGACCTTATGAATCTAAAGAGATTGATTTAGTCAGTGAGAAACCTGCTCAATGTACAAGTGAGCAACTATCTCTAACCTCAGAGCAGAAGTGCAGCAATATGATCCTTGATTTGACCTTAAACAAGGATGTAGGAATCGAAGTTCTGGACTCGGAAACTCTGCAGCTGCATCAGCCGAGAGTGGAAAGTATAGGGAAGAAGATCGAGGTTTGTATGGGCGGGAAGTGCAAGAAATTAGGTGCCCCGGCATTGATGGAGGAGTTTCAAAGAGCAGTAGGCAGTGAGGGAGTTGTTGAAGGGTGCAAGTGCTTGGGCAAGTGTAAAAGTGCACGTAATGTCAGACTTCAGAATGGTAATGTAGGTGCTGATACTGTGAAAACTAGTAACCCTCTCTACATTGGTGTCGGTTTAGAAGACGTAGAGTTGATCGTTGCAAACTACTTTGAGGAACAGGCTAAGGATCAATTGCACGTTGCTGTTGCTGCTGTTTCTTCCTGAAGAAATTTTGTTGCCATTGCTGACGTCTCAGATTCAGTTGTGTAGCTGATATGCAGGTTGAAACAATTCACGGAGATTAAGAATTCCGAACTTGTCTGAAGAATTATTTCAGTGTCTGAACTGAAGGAGGAGACTAGTGAGAAGGAGCTGAAATATTCCTGTCAATGTTAAAATTATTACTTTGGAGAGTGTGATTCTGATTAAGGTTTTCTTCTTTTTGATAAACCTGTTCATTGTACATAACACTCCAATTTACTGTATTCTATATACTACGTAGTATTGTGTATTGATTGTATTTTAGAAACAAGAGAACTAGAAATTGAATAGAACAGTGATTATTTACTCAACTAGAAATTTCACTACTAATAATTTTCAATTTTTTTTTTTTTTTTTTTTGAAAATTGTAATTTTCATTTATTATTTCTAATTTATTTGATTTTGTTTTTTAAACAAGTGTTCTAAAAGACGAGCATTTTTTTATGAAATAAAGTTTATAAAGAAGCTCTTGGGTTTCCTTTGCAGCAAACATGAACTAAGTTTGTTCGATCTATTTGATTGAGCACACTTGGTTTTGATCCGTTTGAATCAAAATCTAGCTTAGGTTCTTTATCTCCGTCTGAGTTCATTACCCACAAAACCCGGTACAAACACATCCCTCATTTTCTCATTTGTACACATTAAGGACAAAGAAACGAATATTCATTATATATATGAATCATCAGTATATAGGAGAGAAATATTTAATGGGGATGTTTTGAGATAAAAGCAACATTCAAATTACAATGAGAGGTTAGAATGAATTACCAATGGGTGATTAAATTGGTTCTTTAATTAGTGTGATTAGTTATCAAAATTCAAAAGGAACTCATTCCAACAACAATTCCAAACTAGACGAATAGCAGGGGAAGAAGGGAAGTTCAGTTCTGAGATGCACAAGCTTGTTCTAGGATACAGATATATCAACAGATGGCTTCTTCAATTTACAAAGTCGCCATGAATTATGTACATTTACAAAAGGACTAATTATACAGATATATAGTACATCACCTTGTTAGTAAAAAAAATATATCAGTTTCTCGGATGTTTCAAACTAGGCTCAGCATCAGTTGTATCTGAGGTACCGCATCGTTTTAGGTAACCATCAAGTGTTTTCTGCTTCATAGGGCTACAAGTAGGCGAGCTGTGTAGTGTTTTCTGCTTCTGAGGGCTAGAAGTAGGCGATCTGTGTGAGCTAAGTATTTTCTGCTTTGCAGGGCTAGATCTTGGTAGGTTGCATGAAACTTCCATGGTATTCTCTTGTCCGTCAAGAACCTAATATGTCCATGAAAAATTACAAATCCAGATTTCATTTTAGCAACAAGAAGCAAAAAGTGCTAAGGAGATACAAATAGACATGCAATTGGTAAAAAAATAAAACCTGTCCAAGATTTTCTAGTTTGCTCTGAACAACGTCCCTTCAATACGGAAACAAAGAAAAAAGTACCACATTAGTTAGCATCATCATCTTTTGATCATTTTAATAACTCTACTAAATTCAAGACAGATTATAATGCAAGTCACATCATACCAGATGATATCATCAACAGTATCATTTGCTAGAAGGTAATATACGTTGACCGAAGAGACCTAGCAGAATGGGAGAAAAGGCCACGATTAGGAAGTTTTGGCTACCTCTAAACGTACATTAATGATATAAGGCAATAATAACTGAATTTCGACTAATAGGAAATGTGACTGGTTGAATACAGAGAATTCAAAAAAAACTTTTCTACTTTGCTAAATTAGTTACCTGGCCGATCCTATGAGCACGATCTTCGGCTTGTATCAAGTCACCGGGGGTCCAAGATAACTCAGCAAAGATAACTGTGCTAGCGGCTGTTAGAGTTAAACCAACACCTCCAGCTTTAATTGACAGCTGAAAGAGGAAAACAAGAAAGTAAATCTTAGAAGTTAGCTTAAAAAAAATATTAAAATTTTTTTTAAAAAAAAAAGAAAGAAAAAAAAAAAAGGTAAGAGTTGTCATACAACTGCAGCCTTGATTGCTTCATTTTCCTGAAATTCTGTAACCAAAGATTGTCTTGATGCTGCTGGTGTACCACCATCGATGCGGATGCAGCCAACCTTTTTCTTCTGGAAGTTCAATAATGAATCAAGAACATGTCAACATAAAAAATATAATTATATAGCACATACATAATAATGGTCTGACCAATAGGTGAATAAAAGAGGAGCTCAGTGGTAGAGCCTACCCCCCTCCTCAGAATGAGGTCTTGTGGTTTTATTTCTATTAGAAATCCTCCTGGCTCCAAGGGGTGGGTCATATAGGCCAATGAATTTGATGAATTATGAAAAACAGGAGTCAAAATTTACCTGTAAAAACTGGTGTATTGCTTCAATCATAGGCTGATGGTGCGCAAATATTAGAAATTTACATCCAGCCTGGCTCAATAAATCCAAAAGGAAAATATGTAAGCAATATGAAAGAATCATCACAAAAGCTAACATACCCAAATATGACAAAGGATAAGAGATCGTGAAAATTAACACTTTGTTTGGATTGAAGGAGATGGAAGGAAAAGAGGGGAAGAGAAAGGGAGGGGGACAAACTCTCTTGTTTGGGTAAAGGATTGGGGGAAGGAAGAGAAAGGAGAGGGAGGGATCCATTTTCCCTCTCTCTTTAATAAGCATAATCCCTCCAAAATTGGAGAGATTTGGAGGGAAAATGGAGCTCACCTCCCCCTCCCTTTCTTTTCCATTCCCTTCCCCTTATTTCCCTCCCCTTCCTTTCCTTCCTTATTTGCTATCCAAACAAAGTGTTAAAAGAAAAGGACTACAAAGAAACACTTGAAAAAATGGCCAAAGAGAATAAAGAACCACAAGGTGATAGCTTCAGGGAAGAGAAGACAAAACAAACTGAAGAATAACGCATCTTTTTATTTTTTGTGTATGTATAAGTAAAATGACACTTTTTCCAACCAACGAAAGCAAAAACCGCTTTCGAAGTTGCAAGCCTTTCTTTAGTAATACTACCTCTGGCTTTTTAAGTTGAAACGTATTCCATTTTAGGAAGTTTATTTTAAGTTGACACGTTTCCTATTTGGGTAACTTTTATACTTTGCATTTACTAGTCTTCCTCCACTTGCTTTATCATTCTCTCTCCTCTCCTTAATATGTGCGCCTAAATTGAACGCGTCAACTAAATAGAAACGGAGGAAGTATATCTGTTCTATTCTTGAACGAATCCAGCATGCGAGTGCTAGTGTTGCTGAATGATGATATTTCTTAAGTGCTCTTCCAATAACCATGGCAAGCATATAACGTAGCCTCCTCTATATGCCAGACATTCCGCTTACTAAGTTCAATTGTATGGAATTAGTAAACGCACACAAACAAAAAAATTGAATAATAAACTATAAATATAATAAAGCGAATATGTAATCAGGTTGATTATATGCAGCAAATTCCAGCCCCTTTGTTTGCTTGATTATAATAAATTATTTACTTCATGAGTAAATTTAGTATGCTGTCATTTATTTGTCTCCCCTATATAGAAAACTTCATGTTTTTCTTGATGGAAATCTTTGTGGATGTAGGCTTATGGTTGACGTAAATTAAAGCAAGTTCTGCTGCAGATATCTTTCTAAACCCAAGACAGCTACTACACATGTTGCTTAGATCTCCAATATTTTAAAATGCTAATCAGCTAAATATTTTTGTAGGGATATTTGTTTAACCATGACTTAAAGCCGAACAAGCATATGGTTATTTAGGTTTTTTTTTTTTTTTTTTTTTTTTTTTTTTTTTTTTTTTTTTTAAAATACTCAAAAGAATATTAACTTGTTCAGGAAATATGTTTAAAATATAGTTGCCATATGGCCTTATTGGCTTATTCTAATGAGAATCTTTTCCACAAAAATTAAAAGAGTCCAAAGTTCTTTGGTAAAATCACACAGATTGACAAAATAAATAAATTTAGAGTAATCCTGTAAATAAAAAAATATATTGATTTTCCTGATCCTTGTTTCCCTCCTTTAATTTATTCTTATTTTGATAATGAACTCACCTCAATGACTGTTCCCAGGTATTCCTTAACTGCTGGAATCTTTGCTTCTGCAGAATCAGTATATATCTGTAGAATAGCAAGGCAAGAAGGAAAAACATAGAGTTACTTTACATAGCTTAAAGATGCAGCTAAATGTGACCGTGTTCGTGAATTTTAGTAGGAATAAAGCAAAAAATGTACCTTATTAATCAAACCCTTTTCAGTAAATTTGAGAGACTCTTGTTCATCCTTGGAACTGCTAGCTTTAATCCTGTCTTTCACCACCCCCAGCTATAAGAAAAGATATAAAAGTATTGCAGTGTTCAGAAGATAGGAATTTTTCAATTGATTGCTAAAGCATTAAACAGAGTAAGTGGTAAAAACAATGTACTTCACTACTTCCTAGGGTCCTTGGTAAGGGTACTCATACAACACTACCAAAATTTTAAAATTCATTTGCAACAAGTATCTGAATCAACAATAAATAATCACTCGGCATTTAAACTTGAAAGCTAATTCACACCATGAAATGATGCATTACCTCGAGAAACAATGCCTTAATTTGTCTCAAGTCTTTTTCAGCCAGATCCAGAAAGACCTAATAATCACCATGCAATGTCCTTCAGTCACTTACAAGTAAATTGAAGATCATTTATTGTATCAGAGTCCAATAAAAGGATGCATAAGATATAGCTGATTTATAGCTTAACATGTAAAATTCATTCACCAGTTCCAAATTTAACCCCTCTTCTATGCTTCATATAATTATTATTTTTCATTTTTCTTTCTGATTACAGGAGGGGGTGCTCCTGACACCTTATCATGCCGTGATTGCTGGTAATACGAGAACAAAAAATTACCACATGATGAGTTCAATCAATCAAAGCCTCAATCCCATAAATGGGGCACATGATGAGTTCACATTGAAGTACTTTGGCAAAGAACAATATCAAGCACAGGAAAATCTTAACAATTTTAACATTAGCTTTGGTCAAGGTAAAGAGTAAAGCCAAAAGAAGTCTTCATAAGCAATCCATCAAAAGGAATTTTTGAACACATAATTTATGAAATGGGCAAAAACCATCAGAAACCAAAAGGCGTCAGCAGCACTGCAGCAGTGTGGTGCAGGCTAGACAGCAGCGTTACCTGCTGCCTACGTTTTACAGGAAGCTCATAAAGAACATCCTTCTTCAGTCTGCGTATCATGAGTGTTGCTTTCATTAAATTGTGCAATTCTTCATGGTTACTTGAACCTTGGTATAATCCAAATACTCCCTGAAAATCAAGGAGAAATTTACATGGCTC